AATTTCTTTTAATGCATAGTTATTGGCGCAGTCGAAGAACCATTTTAGCTCTGAATTTAACTACAGGTCGTGATGGTTGTGGTGGTGATGAGATAATTCAAAATTTAACTTTAACAGGAAGTTGGACTCTTTTGAATGTTTGGAAAAATTATGTTATTGCTATTCAAGGATTTCCTAATAAATTTTATCAATTGGTATTGATTATATTTGTTATTTTTTTCAATATATATATATTTTACAATTATTCAGATTAATTATTTGGATTTTTTCTAGAATCTTGGTGTCATAACTGGGCTTAATAATGAAAAGGGTCTAAAAATTAATTGGACAGTTATTGATCAACCGAATGTAGTAGAAGATGGTTTGAATGAATTTATTATCATTATTATTATTATTATATCTATATTTCACATAATAATTTACAAAATATTTATTTATTTTCAGTATCAAATATTCTCTCCAAATCTACTTGGTCCATAATTCAACCTTTTGAAGATAAACCAAATTTGGAAATCATTTTACATCAACCAAATAAGTCTACCACTAAAACTACTGAGAATACTGAGAATACTGAGAATACTGAGAATACTTCTTCTGTTAAGAAACTTCCTCCTCTTATAGTTATTCCCCATGGTGGTCCACATAGTGTATCTGTTATAGAAATTAAGTTGTATATACAAACTTTGGTTTATTTGGGATATTCTCTTATTGAAGGTATTATTATTATGTTCCAAAATTGGTTTATGAAATTATGAATTAATAATATTATGTTTTCAAGAATTAAATAAATTTTATTTATTATTTATTTACTTAATATTTTTACTTTAAGTTAATTATTCTGGAAGTATTGGATTTGGACAAGATTATGTTGAATCATTAATTGGAAAAATTGGTCATTTAGAGATAGAGGAGGTTCAGGTACTTTAAAATATTTTTATTTTTTGTATTGTATTATCAGTTATTATAGTTATTATATATTATTAATTATTATTAATTATTATTAATTATTATTAAATATTATTATTATTATTATTAAAAAAGACCACTGTCAAATATTTTGTTGAAAAGAATTATGCTGATCCTAATGCAATAGCATTGATAGGTGGCAGTCATGGTGGATTTATTTCTGGACATTTGGTTGGAAAATTTCCTGTAAGTATTAAAAGCTAGTAGTAAAGATGATAAATTTTGGATAATAGAATAGAATATGCTAATAGCATAACATATGACAACATGTAATAGGATTTTTACAAGGCATGCATTTTAAATAATCCAGTATTGAATATTGGAGGTAAATATATAATCCTTCTTTCTCTTTCCTTATCTTTTATTATCTTATTTTTAAAACATGCCTTCACCAATTTCATTTATATTATAATTTATTTTTGTAATCTAGCAATGTCTTCCGTCACCGATATCCCAGATTGGTAAATGTTGATATATATGTGTGT